CTTGTTCTTATCTTTGGGTTCACCGTATTCTTGATGAATTTCGTAAAGCTTTTCTGGAGTTAGTTTTGGTTCCACTAACGCCACCACGTCAAAGTCTACTTTGACGTGCGGAGCCCCTTGTCCTATTATTGTATGGACGCTCCTGTAGCGTTACTCTCCCGATTCTTTACGAAGAATGGAAATTGGATTGCTACTTGGCCATACAGAGTGGCTGCTCGCGCAAAGTTAATTCCTGGACTCCATGGACGTGCATCACTCCACAAAGTGCGTCGCCACTGCTCCTGCGACGCTCGAGCGACCCGAAAAAGTTCCATACAAAGGTCCTCTAATGAAATGTCGCGCGAGCCGACCAAAATCTGCGAGTTGCCAGGTCGAACAGGTCGCGTCCCCGCGCGCGTCCCACTTAGGTCGCCCAGCTGGACGAGCGTGTACGGCGCCCGGTCCGCCGGCACCCGATATGCAAGCATGCACAATATGCAAGGATATTGCATATGCAAGCATGGGCAATATGCAATATGTATGTAAGGATATTGCATATGCAAGCATTTGCAATACGCAAGCATTTGCAATCCGGATGCACTCGAACGTCCGGATGCACCCGAACGTGTCCGGACCCGGACGAGAGCTACGGCACCCTCGGGACCGCAGGGACCGCGCCTCGTCGCGTCTGTGACCGGCTCGCGTCCGGAGCTCATTGGAAAGTCGCGCTCGATTGGATGGTTCCGGAGCTTTGCGTTTTCCGTTAGCGCGCCCCCTCTTCACAATCAGAGGTCGCGGGTTCGAGTCGCACTCCGCGAATTTCGAGTTGCACACCGAAACGCGAGGACGCGAGGACGACAGGTCGCGGGTTCAAATCACGGGTCGCACGCGAGTTGCACGCGAGGATGCGAGGACGCGAGGACACCAGGACGTGAGGACGCGAGGATGCAAGGGCACATGGACGCGTGAGCGTGTGGGCACGTGGGCACATGGGACCGTGGCACCGTGGATGTAGCCACACGTGGATGTAGCGTGGACGCGTGGACGCGTGGACGCGGGACATGAGGATGTAACATGGGCGTGTGCATGAAGCGTGGACGCGTGCATGTGAACCTTGAACATGTGGGCGGGGACACACGGATACTGGGCCATCAGGCCATGGGGACGACTGGGTGCGGTGGTGGGTAACGAACAACAGACGCGCGTAGTTGTGTTGTTCGACTTGAACTTGCAAGGTTAAACGTTTATCACAAAATATTAGGATAACCAGGTACGCCTGGGCGTGGCTGTGGGTATATCCATGTAGTTCCACTGTGGGACAGGACTTGCAGTGGAAAACTAGACTACAACGGCTCCGCCACGAAATGACGTGAAGTCGCGCACACCGCAACATTCCCCGGGATAAATACAGTCGC